ATCTGAAGAGGTATTATCCTGCCTTTTCAGATAACAAAACTGCCTGAAACAAAATATTATTCAGAACCCATTTATGGGGTTCGAACCTACTGAAAGGTTCATTTCTGTTAGTCATCGTGTAGTTGTGAGAAATTTTCTGCCTCTGAATCAGACTTTTCATCTCAGTGAGTGGATATTAGCTCTGGTTCTTCTTCAATAAGATCTTCCAAATCTGGTCGGTACCTTTCCCATTGGCTTTGCATTTCATCTAAATCTTGATGGGTACGTGCTTGCATGTCTGTTATGGCTTGATGTTCACGATCAACAATGGTCCGTAATCTTGAGAAGACTTTTCGTTGATTGGAAAAGATGTTATCCCAACCAAGATCTGGAAGTATAGTTGCTGCGTGATTTTCTATCATTTCCATGTGATGATGGAGATCAGGAATGCGGCTAAGGATGTCACGAAGAGGTTCATACCCCTCAATGACTTTTTCCATCAGGCGGATGACGCGATGAATGGTTCTTCTTCCTCGTTGGGAGAATCGGAATTTGAAGTCTAGTTGCTTGAGTATATGTAACAAGTCTTCTGCATGGCCTCCAATAGGGTGATTACCTACAAAGAAGGGTTGAAGAACACCTTCCCAGTTGCTTGATGGAACATGAGGTCGGTCATTCGCCATGTTTGTTAACACTTCAAGTGTTTTGATTTTCAAAATATGCCTTGGAATGTGTTTCTTAAAATGTGAGAAACAATATTCTTTTAAAGAAGGAGTTTGTTTCGATTCCTACAAAGTTGGAAATTGAAAGGTGATCCTTGTTTTGAGAGAAGAAAGAAAAAATGGATTACTAAGTCAATTGTTGTTACAAAGGGGAAGGTATTACAAAAGTGCCCCTAAAGCAGTTTTTATATTTGTCCATTTGGTTTCATCCCTGGATAGCCTTCTGGTATTAGCAGCCGTCTGATATCTTCGGATGAATTGGGATCGAGCTTGGGTTTTCAGCTCTTGATCTAATTCAGCCTCATTCTTGGTATATTTCTCAAGCAGACGCTGCTCATTGGTAATTTGCTTATCCAGGGTAGACTGTTCCTTCTTTAGCTCCCGCAATTCTGCCTCCTTTTTCTGAATAGCTTCATCGACTTGAGCTTTCGTGCTAAGGAGACCACCCAGCCTTCCAGTAGTCTGCTGAAGGGATTCTCGGGTCTTAGCCAAAGAATTCTCCAGCGTTGTTTGATCGAAGTCGGGCTGGGGGGTTTCGGTTGACAGGTTTCCAATGACTAACACTTCAGTCTTGAGCTCTGTAAGTCTTTCCATCAGCCGATGCAGAATGGGGACGGCTGGCGATTCCGTTGGAGTGTAAAAAAGAAGGCCACCAACCGTCTGAATGAGTTTGTCCAATAAGTCGGATCTCAATTCTGACAGGGGATGGTTAATGGCCTCAGTGAATATGGTTCGGGCCTCCGCCGGAACCGGAACAGTCGATAGGATAGCTAAGTCCGAAGGCCCCTGCAAGTCTTACAGTGTCAATAAGTATTCCAAGGGAGGTGCAAATTTATTCAGATAAGTTATGTGTCACCTCTGGGCGAACTGCTGTTAGTGAGGGGGGCAGCACTGAAGTCGGTCGAGTAGGGCGGGCGGCTGGTATAACAGCAGCCGACTCGTCGGCTGCTGCGAATGGTCGCTGAGGTGCCGACCTGGGTCCCTATGGAACGTGGTATATAAAACAGTTAGTGTTTTCCGAAAGAAACATTGTGGCATGGATTGGTTTAATCTTACCAAATTTACAGAAGTCTCCGAATCGGATGAAGAAACTTCTTCCATTTCTGGATGTTGGGCTGCCACAGGTGGTTCTTCTGCCTGCCACTCGATTGCTGGAGGTAGCGCCGCTGCTGGCTGGGCGGCTGCAGGTTGGGCGGCTGCATCTAGTGCCGCTGCAGCCGGGATCTCTGGAGCATCTGGGATAGCCGCAGCTGGGGGACTTTCGGTTCCCAGTGCGGCTGCATCCGATTGGACTATTTCGAGATTACCAGCAGCAGGTATGTTGTTGTGAGGGTCCGCTTCGGCAGGGGCAGTTGGTCCTTCCTTCGAAATGAATGAGTCTGATGCCATGTATGGCGGTCGACCCATCTGGGAAGTAGTCCCTTCGCTGTCAGAAGAGACCCCTGCTGCTGATGCGATTGGTGAAGGTGTCTGTGAAAAATCATGGAAATGTTGTTGGTTAAATATACCAAGGTCGGTCATGAGAATCATAAGTATTGCTGATAAGAGGACTTACTGGTTCTGTAGGCAGTTCTTGCAAGGATTGCCTCCTGGTCAGGTGCCTGGCCCGACCGCTCCTCGGTGCGGGAGGAAGAGTTTGCCTCCTCTTCGGGTTCTCCGCCCGACTGCTCATTGGCAAATTGGTCTGGACCAAAGGTCCGATTGAATGGTCGGCTGGGGGTGGCGTCGTTTGTGTGGTCGGTGTCACCAAGGTCGGTTCTGGTGAATGAAATAAGTGAAATCAAAGTTAAGATATAGTGAATTGGTTCACGGTTTTAAGAAAAATTACCTATTCGGGGTCGGGCCGTTGTTGACGTCCTAGTAGTTCCAAGGTTCGCTGGAGCTTGCTGGTCGGCCCCAGAGGTCGGGGGTGTTTGCAGCTGGGACGCTTTCCTTTTTCGCATGGGAACACTAGATCCGATTCCCGGGGCGGCTGATTGTTGTTGAGTGCTAGTATGTCTAGCCGCCCCTAGAACCAATCCTTGGGGGGGAAGGAGTGTGTTCAACAACCGATCCTCATCAGGGGAAATCAGGGACCATACAACCGACCACCATTCATTGAATGTATCTACAGTCTCAAGGTTGGAGCGGAAAGGAATATACGAATTGGAAATTATGTACGTGGTGAGCTGGGAGATATAAGAAGGGATTGAATTAGGTAGGACTCGTCGGTCAGGACTTTGAAAAATTATATGCGGACAAGCGACGGGTCCAGGGATACCTTGGCAACAGCCGAACTGGCGCGCCATGAATTGAGGTTCATAATTAAAAGTGTAAAAGGTTTTCTGCCCTTTTTTATCAAGTTTTTTGCTGCTAAAAAGAGACCTGGGTTTGAGGGCAACATCCCAGGCAAAAGAATAAGTGGGATGAGGACAAGGTTCGGGAGTCGGAAGAGGATTTGGTGCCGGAAAGGGCCAGAAATGGTCGGGAGCATAACCCGCATATTTTTTATACATAGAAAATCGAGAGTTACTGCGGGTATCCGTTACAATTGCGGTTATTATTGGATCGGAAGATTGGAGTTTATTGCGTCCTGAGCAGAGTCGGTTGAGGGCTAATCCCAAATGTTTTTCAGATGTTGGCATAGTGGGCGGAGATCCTAAGTTGAACGCGTTGGGGAAGTAAAGACGGAACCAAAGTTCTAAAAACCAAAAAGGACCCGATGCGGCAGTGTCTAATTTTCTACTATCATTATCTGTCAGACGAAGGCTAACTCTAGTAAGTCCTTCAAACAGATTGGCTAAAAACAGGGTGCCAAGGGAAAAGAACCGACCTGACGCGATATGAATGGCCAGGTCGAGATGAGAAGGAAGAACACATTTGGAAGGGGAAACAATGACGTACCTACAAAGCCAAAAAAGGATAAAGGCAGTATGCTCCCGGTCGGTCACAGGGGTCCCTGGCGCCCCTTGTTGGTCGGTTGCGAACTTTGTCCAACCCCATTCCTTCACACCTTGTAAAGACCATCCTGGATGGTCTTCTGATGGCTCCTGCCCATCTAGGGCTCCCATCACAGGGTCTTCACCCACGACTGGGAGATGCGCGATCATTGCCACATCCATAAGAGTTGGACCAAAGGGGCCCGATGGTAAGAGGAAAACCCCATTTTCCGCATTCCAGAAAGCAGACATGGCCAACAGCACCTTCTCATGCAGGTTGATAGGCATGGTGGACAGTAGTATTGCTTGGTCGATTTTTTGGGATCGCCATTGGGTCTGGAAGTGTTCTGCTACCCGTCGATACCAAGCGCGGTAAGGATCTTTTGGGTCCGTGAGATGGGTTTTGATGCTGTCTCGAATGCGAACTGCTTGGTAGTTAGGGTTGTTGATAGCCAAGGAATTTCGGGATTCCAAGACTTCCCTCATCCGATTTGAATCTTCAGGAGTAGTGCAATATGGACGGATCGCCGGAGTTAGTACTTTCGAGGCTGAAAATGGGCCCTCCGGGAGGGTTCCGTCGAAGGAAAGGGCAGGAATGTATTGATTCGCCATGGTTAGAGTGTTTTGGGATTGTGATTCACAAAAGCTTGTATTGCGGAGAAGGAAGTTAATCAGGAGTGTTGCAGTAACTGGTGCAGTTGCTAAGGGAGTTTTTCAAGAGGGTGGTGATTTATGAACTTCCAAACATTGATTGTTAAATGGCGTTTGAAAGTCCCTTGGCGGCGGGCAAGTTGTTACGTACGAAATTTAGAATTTGGTTAAAAGCCCAAGGTAAAAAGAAGAATGGGCCTGGCAATAGAGTTGATTGAACTGACTGAAGGGCACCATGAGGAAATCAAGGAAAATAGATTTATTACTAAGGAAAGTCCTCAGGTCGGAAGGTCTTCAGGTCGGTAGGTCCTCAAGACGGAAAGACCTCAGGTCGGAAGGTCTTCAGGTCGGGAGGTCCTCAAGACGGAAAGTCATTAGGACGGAAGGACCTCAGGTCGGTAGGTCCTCAAGACGGAAGGACCTCAGGTCGGAATGTCTTCAGGTCGGGAGGTCCTCAAGACGGAAAGTCATCAGGACGGAAGGACCTCAGGTCGGTAGGTCCTCAAGACGGAAAGACCTCAAGTCGGAAGGTTTTCAGGTCGGGAAGTCCTCAAGGCGGAAAGACCTCAAGTCGGAAGGTTTTCAGGTCGGGAGGTCCTCAAGACGGAAAGACCTCAAGTCGGAAGGTTTTCAGGTCGGGAAGTCCTCAAGGCGGAAAGACCTCAAGTCGGAAGGTTTTCAGGTCGGGAGGTCCTCAAGACGGAAAGACCTCAAGTCGGAAGGTTTTCAGGTCGGGAAGTCCTCAAGGCGGAAAGACCTCAAGTCGGAAGGTTTTCAGGTCGGGAGGTCCTCAAGACGGAAAGACCTCAAGTCGGAAGGTTTTCAGGTCGGGAAGTCCTCAAGGCGGAAAGACCTCAAGCCAGATGGTTCGCAAGTCGGGAGGATTGGCAGTCGGACCCATACTATTGTAGATTGGCAGTCGGGCCAAAAGAGCGGAAGGTCTGTGGTCGGCTCAAAGAGTGAAATATAGGGATAATTTTGGTCTGCTGGGGACGCGTGTCAGCATGAGAAGGGTTGGAAAACGGTTGGGAAGGAGACGTTGTAACCGTTCGGGTGACGGTTTTCGGTACGGTTTCCCAGAGAATATTTAAAGGCTTGGATAATCATTTGGCATGGCATCTTCAATCAACTTCAACAAAGCAAAGTCAGATTTGGGGATCACCACTTTAAATTTCAGTCTTTTATTTTCCAGTTTATTTTCTGTACCATACAGTGTTTAGAGATTCCTAATCTCAGGCACTAATTAATCAAGTTTAAGGATATTTTCTATATCTTTGAATTTTACTTTATTTTTGTTGAAAAATTACATCAACAATTCTATTTTTAATTTTTTTATAATTATTTTTTTTAATAAAATCGAATATCAAATAAACAATGTAATAAACTCTTAATTTATATTTTTGGATATATTTTATAGCATTTGATTTGTTTATGAAAGAATATGTTGCAAGATAAAATATTGGAGGATAATTTTAGTTTTAAAGAAGATATTAAGAAATTTATATTAATTTTTTAGAATGTAATTTATTTTGCACTTATAATTATTTAAATATATAGAAGTATGAAATTATAACCTTACACTACAAAAAAAATAATATATTTGTAACGGAATTCCGTCTCTAATGTTCATGTAGCTAACGTAATTCTATTATTAATTCCGTCTCTAATGTCATTAGTAGCGGAAAAAATAGATTTAGAGACAAAAAAATTTTGTTACAAAAATAATTTTTTCTTGTAGTATTATATTCAATCAAGAATTAAAAATTTATACTTTGTTCTTTTAACAAAAATTTTCAACATATTTTTGCCTATATTACATTCACTCTTTATTTTTATATTACATAAGTAATTTCTCATACCTCACATAAAAAAAATATCAAAATACAAGACAAACACACCCGTTACAAAATAATAAAATTATCTATAAATAGTAATTAACATATTTATTTCTCATTTTTTTAAAAGTAAGCTTCATAAGTGTGTTGAAAAATCATACTTAACTACATTAAGGGTGTGTTTGTTTAGGGGTTTAGATTTTGAGTTGGGATTTGAATAGTAAAAATTTTGAATTTGAATAGTAAAAATTTTGAATTTGAATAGTTGTATGATGTGATATAAATAAGTGTTTGATGTGATGTTTTGAATGTAAAATTTATTTTTAGTATAATATAAAAAATGAAAAATAGGTGTTTGATTTGATGTTTTTGAGGGGAAAAAATGGGATGAATAGTAAAATTTTGTAAAAATCTTACAACCGAACACACCAATGAATTTGTATATTTATGTTTTAAATACTAAATTTTTATTTGACTAAATATTTTGGTAATAAATTCTTAAAAAACTTTCAAACTTAAATGTGTTTCATCGTGCCTTCCAATTTAAATTGTAAATATTAAAAATTTTAATTTATATAATGTTTTCGACATTAACATTAAATTTTAATATAATAAATAAATAAATATTTGATTAAAAGGTTTTTATAAAAAAAATGTAAAAATAGTAAAAAGTCTATAAAAATTTACAACCAAACATAACATTATTTATTTCTTTCTTATATAACATATATACATACATGTATAGTTTATTCACATTATTTCTTAAATTAATTAAAAATATATTTAATATATCAAAAATTATAATATAATAAATACAATAAAATTTAACCGTGCATAGCACGGAATATATATATATACACACAAAAATACTCGCATTTTTCTTGCAAAATAATAAATAAAACTTTTCATATTTCCGTTTCTATTCCCCAAACAAAACCAATTTCCAAAAAACATATACCGTATAAATATGCATCTAATTATATACCGTATATATTAATAATTATCATAAATATTCTTTAATTAAATTTTTGAAATTTTCACTTCTTTTTTTTAATGAAAACTAAATTTATATATATTTAGTTTCTTAATATATATTTTATCACTCGAAAACATATGCCAAATGGAAGGATAGTTTTTGAAAATTTATATAAAATTTTAAAAACGAAATACCTTAACGGATAATCATCCATTTTTCATTTATTCTTTTAATTTTAAGATTTAGTTTGAAATTTCTGTTAGAAATTAGTGGTATAAATATTCAATCAAATTTATTTATTAATTATAAAATAAATAGTAAATAATACAATTTATAAAATATTAAAAAGTTAAATATTTATTACTAAATAAATAAACATGCAAGAAAAATAAGTATTTATTCAAATATATATTATCAAACATATATAATGAATAAATACAATGATATATTGGCATACATATGTATATATTATAATAACCAATCAAATATTTCACCAAATCAAAAAATAAAAAAGAAATTAAAATACCTTATAATTTAAATATTATATTATATAACTTTGAATGAAATCAAATTATATAAGATTAAAAAGAAGAAAAGATTATGTTGTTGAAGTAAATATCACATAAAAAATTTCAAAGTGAATATATGAACTTTTCACAATAAAAAAATTTACTCAATAAAAGTAAATACAATTAAATAACATATTAGTACAAAAATAAATAAACAAACTCTACCCCCACTTTCTTCCTTCTTCTTTCTTCTTCCTCTTCTCTCTTTCTCCTTTCATCTTACTTACTCATTATTCTTAGTTGTTTTTTCTCTCTTTTCAAATTCCTTTTTTCATTCCTCTCTTATTTCACCTTTCTCAGTCAGTTGCGCTGCCGCCTTTCTCCCAAAAATGATGTCTAGTCCCGCAAGCCGTTTTAATGTCCAATCGATTTTTATTTTTCTTTTACTCCTTTTTTTTTTTTTTTTTTTTTTTTCCAATTAGCAACATCTTCCGGAGAAAAACTTGCAAATGAAGATTTCCTGACATCGCCTTGTGGATGGATTCATTTACAAGTATCTGCCAAAGTAAAACTGAGCAAGCAGAAGTTTGTTTTGTGCCCGAAGGCGTAGAGTATAACTGCAGAATTTTTATAATTATAATTTTTAAAACCCGCATAAAAAAAAAATTTGAAAACCTTACAAATAATCACGGTTTGTTTTCTAATTATCATATCTTCTTCCTTTTTAGCCGTTATCTATTATTTCTTCTTCATCAACCCATTTTCTTGTAGCACGATCCACCCCTAAAGCTGCTACGGGTTGTATAGCAATAGTTTGTTAATATTTTTTTCTCCTTACCGAGCCACCGTCCTCTTCCATCTTCAATTTCCTTCTTCTCCATCTCTGCCGTGGGCGATGTTTGTATAGCATTGCAATTGTTGCAAAAAATTAAATTAATTAAAAAATAAATACGTATGAAGAAGTTAGTGGAAAATGCTACCTTCTTTCTGAATAAATTGAAGACAAATTTTAATTAAGGGACTAATAATTCTCTTAAATAGAAGATGAGGACATGTGTATAGGAAAATAAATAGTCTCAATGAGTAGTTGACAAATTGCTGGTAAAATGAAAAAAAGATAATGATATGAAATAGAACACTTATAAAAATTATATAGCAATTAATAAAATTATTGAATTTAATATTATATTTAAACAAAATATATTTATTAATAAATTAATTAGATAATAAAATAAATTTAATGCATGGTAACTATATATGTCATGTGTATATATAGTATGCATTTTATACTAATCAAAACAATAATTACATATTATGAGAAATATTAATAACATGTCTTAAAATATTTTAATGATCAATTAATAACAAAAAAAAAAATGGTTAAAAATTAAAAAATGTTCAAAATAAATAAAAAATTTAATTTTTAAAAATATTTAAGTATATTAATAAAAAATAATTCTATCAAATAATCAATAAAAATAAATAATTATTCAAAAATAATTTTTATATTTAAATTGGACCTTATTAATATATATATATATGTATAAAAATTTATTAGAAATTAATATTATACTCTTATTATAAATCCTTCATATATATATATTTTTTTTAAAATAAAAATATAAAACATATACATACATTATATTATATGACATAACAAAAAAAAAACATATTAGCCTACATTTATATAATAATCAATCAAATTCAACAACGGAAATTTAAAAAAAATAAATAAATAATTCAAAATTCATAACCAATCAAATCTTTCACCCAATCAAATTTTTATTAAAAGAAATTCAAAACCCTTAGAAAGTCTTGTTCTACATTATGGTGGAGGTCACAATGAGTTTAAATATATATATATATAAGTGTTGAGTACAAAATAATGGATAGGTTTTTAGGAAATGGGCCTGGCAAGATTAGATCATTTGAAACGTCTAATGGGTTTTTTAAAAGTCCAAGTATGATTGCAGTAACCAGGTCGGATGAGTTTAGAGTCTGATCAAACCTGGTCGGGTAAATCCCCAAGGTTGGACGGATGAGGAGATTGGACCTGGTCGGGACCAAATAGTTCGGATGTCAAAGTTGGACCTAGTCAGGACAAAGTCCGAGGGTCGGATTTAAAAAAGTCGGACGGATGATGAGATTGGACCTGGTCGGGACCAGATAGTTCGGATAGAGTAGTCGGACCTAGTCGGGACAAATTCCAAGGGTCGGGCATAAGAAGGTTAGACATTGAAGTTGGACCAAGCTCAAAGGTTAGGTATTAAAAGTAGTTATCCTATAGGTCGGGTAGAAAGCAGTTCCTGATAGTGGGGGATAGTTTCGACTAGCGAGCGGTTTTTAAAGTCGGACGTGACAGGACGGTTCTCATACGTGTCGATAGAAGAGAACTTTTTGGGGAGTTAACAGCGGTTATGGTAACCGACCGGATAGCGGTTCAAACCGTA